GTTAATAGATGCTGGAAATGCCAAGCAATAATTACATAATTAAATCCATTACTATAATAGAGTTTAAGTAATTTCATCGATTCTTAGAATATCTAATTAAGAAATTGATCGATTCGTTGATGTATTTTTTATATAAATTAACACCATGATCTGTTTCTCAAATTCTTTGGCAATCGCAATTTTCATAGAACATTGTAATATCAAAATCAAGAATAATAGTTCCGGAAAACTGCTCTTAAAAGAAGTATTTTTTCTTTGAATAAACCTCTTTATACGTAAACGAATTGCTCTTGTGGTTTTATTTCAAATCATCAAAGGAAACATTTTAATTGCATGCATTAAAATTGAAATGTTACCACAATATGATAACAGCATGAAGAAACGGTGAGCTACTGCTATATTGCAGAAGTTCCATTTTAATTAGATGCACTCAGCAAGTGAACCCTAACAAACTATAACAGTGCAAATGTAAACTTATTGTTAATCAGTTAAAAACACTGAATAATAAGCGCAAATTTTATTTTAATTATCTCTAGAGGGTTTTAATTAAGTGTATTTACTTACATTGTAAAATTTTAACAATTTATTTATTGCATTCTGTATGCCAGAAGCTCTTTCCCATACAATTAAACAGGAATTTAGCTCATAGTTTAATTCAAGTCCTTCAGCACTTTACAAATTTGCGCAGGGATACTAAAATGCAATATATTTTTATGTGAGAGATACTTTAACTGTAACTTGAAGCATGTGGACTATAAAATTTTAAATATTTTTATATCCTATCTGAAAGGTTATATAGGCGGCAAGATGTTTTTGCTTTTGTAATTTTAAAATATATATTTACATTCAAAGACTGTTGATTAATAAATTGCATTTTTCTCTATTGTTTGTTGTTGTAGATTAAAGTCAGCAATTATATATGTATAAACATTTATTTTAAATACTTGATTTGTTATTGTTATTATATCTGAAGTACATAGTAATTTGCTAGTTAGTTTGTTTGTTGGGTTTTAAGTTAAACTTACAATATAAAGGACATAAGAGTATGCCATCCTTTCTACTAGTGGAGGAAAACCTTAGGCGCACTTCCGCTCGACCAGGCAATCAAATGAACATCCATGCATGAATAGAACTGATTTTTACATTACATTTGTATACATTTTATATGTTAACATAAAGATATTTTTTTGTTTAAAAGATATAAAAACTCAAGCCACTATTTTATGTTCTGGAATTAGTGATTTGTTTTATAATTTGCATAAATATTTCCTCAAATATTTGTTATTGATTTACAATGCATAAAAACATATGAGAATTTACATATCATCAAATGAGACATAACTGTGACATTATAAAATCATATTTCTTTCTGAGATAAATAACATCAAATACTCGTATAACTGAACAAGAATTTTAATTATTTACTAAAAAGAGGCTTTATGATTTGCAACGCAAAATATCTCCAATAAGTGTTACATTTATAAAGGTAATTATACAATTATACACATATTATTAAGGCAAGTATTTGGTTACGTATTGTTCATAATCACGAGGTTATATGTACTAGATCATATAATGTTTCTTTTGGTATGAAACTAAAAGCATATCAATAAATATATCTGTTAGTTTTAAATCATTTATATTGTTAAAAAATGAATAACTCACCAACCTAAATCCTATGGCGCAAATATGATAAAGCAATAGTTGGTGTTTGACTAATAAAAGTATATAATGTCAAATAGCGGTCAGGCAACATTCGTCTTATGTTAACAATTTGCATGATGCAAAAAGCATATTTACAATGTTAACATACATGTTTTCTTTCGTTCACAGCGGTCAAACAATATATACGCTATTAAACAAAACAAATCTAATATCATTGTACATGTGTCATGAAACAAAAAGTCATTAAACAGAATGCATGCGTCACTGATACAATAGTGACACAAATAATACATGCACAATTAAATGAAGTCATATAAGACAATACATGCGTCATTTAAACGTTGCATTATTACCTTGATACAACTTTAACCAATAACAAAATAGCAAGTGTTAATTTTTTTGTCTACGTGTTACCTAGTAATGTGAAAACTGTGCAAGAATTATGCATAAGGTATCTGTGCAAATCTATGGCCGAAACGTGCACCACGGTATTTAAGTGAACCAGTATGTTTTAGTACTAAATCAAATTGAAAGAAATGATTAAACACGTTGTCTACATTTTATTTTACAAATCTTCCAAAATGTTGAGCAAACTTCATGAAATTCGATTATCTTGTTTACCTTTTATTGCTGTATAATTATCGTTATATACTCCTGTAAATATTGATACTGTACATCCCAGAAAAAAAAAACTGAACGGTTATGTGCAACATAGTGATCTAAGCAGATTTGTTTTTATATTTTAAACTTTCAGTTTATTCTGCTCATTAAAGCTTGTGCCAACTTTTCCTAATAATATGTCCTACAAATCTGCGCTGCTGGCCAATATAATTTGTATTTGAATTGAATTATTTTAAAATTTCAAATTAGCTGCCATAAGCAGACTAACAAAAAATACAAATATTCAAGAGATAATGCTAATGTCCTCAACTAATATAAGAACTACTTTTTTTAATTAACAACCTTAAGATATTCTGGAAAAGGGAGATCTTCCAAATGCATTGAAAAGAAATGAAAGAAAAAGTCTTTAAATGCACACAATTGAGCTTGGGGCTGTTCATTACAGTAATAAAGTCGAATCGTTTCTCAGGCCCCTAGCCCCGCTAAAGCAGTATATTTAAATATTCAATACAAAACACGTGCTTGGATCCTTGACATCAAAGAACCTCTTCCATACCCCCCCCCCCCCCCAAAAAAAAAAAAAATCCCCTCCCCCACCTAAAAAAAAACGCTGAGATGAATTACACGAATATCTTTAAGGACTTACACCAAAAGGAAAACACTATTATTTTAATTGTTGCAATGTAGCAATCATATTAAAAAGTTCAAATGGCAAGATTGAAATCATTATAACAGGCTCTTGAATTCCTCCCAGAGAGTAAAACAGGAGTAAAACATGATCTTATCCATATCTCGTTCATATATATTTTTATTAATTGATATATTAACTTCTTCGTAAACCTCACTGGCAATATGGAATCCTGCCAACATCTTTAACCGAAATTACTCGTTTGTTATACATAACAATGATTTACTTTTGATGCAACACGTTACGGAAGTGAAAGTGATATACCCAAACAATCATCAATTAATCATAAGTCTGGAAAATCTCCATGACACTGTCGACACAGTTCGTATGCTATTGTCAAATGAATAGGTGCTTAACCCAACCAATTATAACCAAAAGAAAAAATAATATTAATGGAATGATGTAAAATATGGAATGATGTAAAATGATGCGAAAAATAACAAGAAATAACAAAACATAACAAAACAAAGCCTTGCATAATACTATCTTGGATTCTTGAATGGCAGTCACATTAAAATGATTTCTATGGAAATTAAAGATTTTTCGCCAATCAAATCTTAAGAATTTATTTATTTATAAATTTTATTAATAAGCATTTAGCAATAATAAATTTTATGAACTACATTTCAAATTCATAGGAAAAGACTGTTTAAATAGAATCAACATTATAAAAGTATTTTGGTGATATTTCTTATAGAAATAGATAGGAAGACGTTTCTCTAAATACGAAAGAAAGTAATGTTGTCGGCACTTTCGCACTCATTCGTTTGTTTTAACTTTCGGGCTTACAAAAATTTAATGTTTTTATTATGTTAGTTTTATATTCACTAACATATTTACATTCAGTTATTGCACACAATAAAACATAAACTGTTGTTAATGTCTTATTTGTGGTTAACATATTGTGTCCCTATCTTCCCTCATTATGTTTACCAGAAATAAAAAAACAGTTGGTGGTATCTTGCATGGATACATAAAATCTTTCTTCAAAACAATTTGTTTACTGCATTACGGAATTTGATTCACGTTTATTTAAAACAATTATGCTAAGCACTTATAAGCATTATAACAGAACTCAATCTATATGCAAAGCACTGACTTCCACTCTATCTTTTTCTAGGAAATAATATATTTGAAACATAAAAGGATAAACTAAGCTAATGAAAAATGTTACCTTGTTATCGAGATAGATATAATATATGATATCATAGAATAACGGATTTTGCCAAACATTTAAATCGGCCATGAAATAAGATGCATAGAACATTCATTGAGGCACACACATTTCAAGCAATAATTATTGTTTTTTTATCAGTTAAATGGTAATTTTACTTACGTTTGTAGGAACAATTAAAAAAATGGTAAAAAAATAAAAGAAATAAATCAGTGAATAAATACAATAATAAATAAATTAAAATAGAATTTATATAAAAAATCGAAAAGCACATAGAAATATTTTTGGGATCAGACAAAATTTGCACAATTTTACATACTTGAATCGTTCCTTTTATGTCTATTCTATGTTCTTTTAGCATTATCATATTTGTACATCTATAATACAATTTATCTATGAGAAAAATATATGTTTCAGGGCATTGTATTACATGTATGATATTTTATATCAACCGTCGACGTTTCAACTACTATATGGGCGTTAGCTTAAACATATTTACATACAAACAAAATAAAAACAAACAAACTATACGAATAAATACAAATGTAAACCTCCCAAAAAAAAACAAACAAAAAACAGCAAAAAAAACATCAATTAACGAACACCAAACAACGCAAAAAAACCACAACAACACCAACAAAATAAAACAGCAAACAAACGGTTCTCTCCCTGGTTGTTAGTCAATTTCTTCTTTTCATTAATGATTATCTTTTAGTATTGGCATTGCATTGCTTTTTCATGGACAGTCATTGTTATAAAAGAAGAAAAAGAAAAGAAAAAAAAAGAAACAATAGGAACAGATGTTTCTTTTTTTAAAATAAAAAAAAATGGTTGTGTAATAACGAATCCTACCTGAAACAATTAAATTGTGCAAAATTTATGATTTGCCATTAATCCGATGTTGATTCCATTAATGTTTTATTTACACAAATACCTGTCATAACACTCAAAGTCTGTCATTAACTTTAGTTCACTACCCTAACTCACTTACTGCAAAAACAATCGGTAATACGAGAGAGTGAGAGAGAGATACAGAATATTGTCAATGCTGGAGAAAAAGGCGCTATTGGAAAACACAGGCACTGAAGTAAAACAACTTCTGAAGAAAATGTTGCGTGTGAAGCTTTATTAGTATTACAAAAGGTTATGATCTTTTTATGTTTCTTAGGATGTACTGCAGACAGTGATTACCATGTATTATTTTGCTTTTCTCGAATGTTGATTGATGCCTTTTTTCCACGTTTGATTACATAATTGCAAATATTCTGTCTTTATTTACAGATAGAAATTGATCAGTTGTGCAAAAAGTTGGTCAATTTGTACTGCTGTATTAAGTTTATAGTAAGCATAATATCCTGTGACTCAACATAAATAGCTTAAAGGCTAATTATGCCTCTGCAATACATCAATTTTATCTTCTGAAAAAAAGGGAAAATATGAGTTTATGTGGTTTAAATAATAGTTTTATTTAGTAAAAGATAAATAGGTATTTCTTTCAAATGGACATTTTTTGTCGCAAGAAGATTTTAACATTTTACTGGTATATAAAACTTGGTACAATTTTATGTACAGAAAAGGCATAGGTGATTTATCATTTTCTTAAACTAAATGTTGAGTCTGATTTCAATAAAAAGTCTCCTGCAAAGAAATGGTCTTTAAATATAAATCACGTAGAATATAATAATTATAGTGATAGTAAAACACGTTTGCATTTGAATATAGAATCTTTATGTTATGTCTTCTAAAAAAAACAACAACAGATTTTATCAAATGGTCACAGATTGTGCTGATTACGATATGACGTTTCGTTACAATATGTTTTTCTTCTTGTTACACGTCTACTTTAAGACATGTATATATAAATACAACTAGTGGTTGGATATTTTTAAAGCAGACATTTATTTTATTATATTCTTATAAATGAAACATTGAGAAATATTGATGAAATAAAACGTGCATTTTATTTTCAGTATTTTGACTGTAAAATTTAATTTTCCCTGCAGTGAAACATATTTTCCGTATTTTCACTGGTGTGTTGCCGGAAACTTTTAAATTCTGCCAGGACACAAAACTTAAGGGAAAGTCTTTCAAATTGAAATGTCAAAAAAGAGAAAAAAATGTATATAATAAGCAGAAAATTCAAGTTTTTTTCTATAAATACATGATATATTTTTATCTTGTGGTATGAACATTATAATATTGATTTTACCCGTGGCTACCACCACGCATGAAATATTTATTTTCATACCGCTCGATGAAAATAAATCCTGTATTAAGGAAAACATTTGAGAATCCTCTATATATTCTCATATAAATGATATAGACCCGTGGTTTAAAAAAAACATATAATTATTTTGTCTTTCAGAAAATTATAAGGCATCATATGTTTTTAATGTACATGTAGCACAACGTTAACAATGCATTTATTTTAAAAAAAAATCATAATTTAACTGAATTTAACAATTTCAATAAATGATTTGAGATTTCAAAACAATCTTAAAAAAATTTAAACAAAGTTTTTATTAAGCATAAAATGCTAATTTAAAACAATATATATATTTTTTCATTATATATTATTAAGTTTAAAAAAAACAGGTTTCTAAACGTATCTTTTTATCTGTTTCTTTTTCTATGTTACATTTTTTTATTTCATTGTTAAAATGTAGCTAACATTTCCATATGTAAAGGCAATATTTTGAGAGAAAAAAAAGTTAAAAACTTAAGAATTCAAATGTTTCAAATGCCTAACCTCGTTGAACGCAATACGAAAATAAATTTGTGCAATGCTAAAACCCCTGTCACACTAGGGCGTTCTCACGGCGTCCAAAGAAAATTCAGAACGCCGAGGTGAGCGCAGTAGGATCGCAAACATCGCCGCAGCATCGCCATAGCATCGCAGTGGCATCGCATAGAACGCCGACCGACGGCGCGCATTTTGAGCATGCTCAAAACAAACGCCGTCACTCGGCGTTCTGAAAAGAGCGCTGTGGGATCGCAGTAAGTACGCCGTAGCAACTCAGTAACATCTCCTACAACGCAACAGGAGCGCCGTGAAAGCGCAGAAGGATCGCCGAATAAACGCCGTATTTAGCCTCGGCGCTTGTACGGAGATTGTACGGCGTCTCTATCGCGTTTGTACTGCGTGTGTACAGCGCTTTTACGCAGCTTTATTTTTTCTAAAACGCTCTTACTGCGACTCTACGGCACTGTCACGGCGACCATTGCGCACTCAAGACGATTCTACTGCGTTCATCTGAAATTGCAGAATACGGTACAGTAGAATCCCTACTTAAGACCACACCAGAATTAAGACCAACCCTCTAATTAGACCCATTTTTTAAAAGAACGAAATTTTCTGTTCGTAATGTTAATGGTTACATGATCCACAATTAAGACTATCCCACTTATCCACATTTAAGACCACCAGCTTTAGTCCCAATTCATTGTTTTATTTATCTAACCCCACTGTTGGGACTTCTGATATTCCAGTAAATACCTACTCAGATAACAAGTTTTTTGTTATTCATCTGCTTGAATTCTCTAAAGCATGACACTCGAAAAATTGTGTTAAAACTGTTATGATTAGAATATTGTATAAAGGTAAGACAATAAATTTCAGATTGATTTAATGTTACTTTCTGCTCATTTTTTGTTACGTTAATAGGTGAAGTATGTACATGACACAAGACCTATGAAAAAATATAATTTATACATTAAATATCGTCAGATTAATGTTCTAATTAGAATTAATAAATATAACAACATCAGTTTATAGTAATATTTGAAGGTTATAATATAATTGTTTCAACATGTTTATACATAATAATTCAAATAGAGAAGTTATGAAATAGATATGCCTTGATAGTTAATAATATCCACACACTTGCAATCAAGACCACTTTACTGCAGTCCCTTTTGTTGTCTTAATAGAGGGTTTTAAATGTATATATAGAACGTGAATATCCTTTAAACCATGTATGATGAACGGCAGCAAGCTAGAATACTGCTTGCTTGCAGGTACACGACTATTCAGAACTTGTATGTGAAGCACGATTTCAGCTCAGTGTGAGCGCCGCAATAGCGCCGTGTGAGCGCTCTGAAAGCGCAGAGGAAGCGCAAAGAACGCAGTAGAAGCGCAGTCCAAACGCAGAAATGGCCAATGAAAACGCCGTAAGAACGCATTGCAACGCCGTGGAAGCTCCGTAGCAGCGCCATGATTGCCGTGAGGACGTCATGAAGACGCCGCGAAGTCTCCGTGTCATCAAAAATATCAGATTTTTCTTGCGATCTCGCGGCGCTTTGAAAAATTTAACAACGCCGTGCAAACGCAGTGACAGCGCAGTCTAGTGTGACAGGGCCTTAATCAAACATAAAGATGTATTGGTGCTTTTGCCGACATTTAAAATCAGCGATGAGTTTATGGAAATCAAAGAAATTCTCGAAACTTACCTTTAAAAAGATAATCCGTGTTTCAAAAATTAATGCAGCTTTTTAGGGTAATAAATAACCGGTCTTTAATAATTTCCTATGCTTATGCTGGAATCAACTAATGGCATGAATGCCCACTACTGTCTTAACAAAGTGAATATTTGCAATTATCTCAAGACAAAAATACTATTGGCAAGATATTGGAAAAGTAATTTCTACTGCAAGATTCTGGTAGGTCACCAGAGAGAATTAATAGAAAAGAAGTATTGTGTTAATGGACATGGTATACACTCCTTGAAATCCAAATAGAATTTTGTAATCTTCTTTTTTTTCAAATATTTTGTCAAAAATGTTCTGTTGATATTATTCATGCTGTGAATGTGGTAAAATAATTTATTAGTTATAGAACTTTATGTATGAGTTTGCGAAATTGTGTTAAAATGTTAAGAAAATAGTATCAATAGCTAGAAATACTCCGGCTGTTTGTCTTTTTTTCCGGACACTAGGCTTAACAAAATGAGTGTATGTTTTTGTAACACATTGTAAGCATATAATTATGCTATTTAGATGTAGCTTTCCTTAGAGTTATCAGTTAACAGTTCATTATTTTAAAAAGTGCAAATCAGCATATGTTTTATCTTCCATTTTAAAAATGCTGCAATTCCTAACACAAAACAAAGGATATAAAACACACTATATCTGAAATCTGCTTGAAATCAAGAGTAATGCATATAAGCATATGTATAACATTCTTTAAGTAGTAAAGGAAAATAGATACATTTGTAACTGTAAATGATGTGGAATTAATTTAATATAACCTTATCTTTATTGACCTACCTAATGAGTCGTGGTTGGATTTGAGCTAATATACTCGTGTATTGCAAATAAACCAATCACTTCGTTTCCGTATTATAAGTTACACAGTTTGACCCCGAATGTTATAAAACCTATCGGAACTACGGCGTACATTATGCTCATTTCGTCACGTATTATCAAAAATGGTTAAATGGTATCAATGACCATATATTGCAAAATGAACCATGGCTTTTCATTTCCGTTATGAAATAAATTATAAAGATTAGACTCGCACAGTTTTATAAAATCTTTAGGATGAAATCTGGTGATAAATACAAACTACATGCATGATATTAATATGGTCACGTATTATCTTATTGTAATGTTGATTTAATTTGCATGTAATTTTTAAACACGGGGGTCATTTTTTTAAAGTTAGCTACAACTACACACTATTTCAGTCAGGTACAAATATTTATATATGTTTAATGCATTTCATTTGTTTAGATTTCGCAGCTATTTACAATGTATATAAATGAATGCAGGAAAAATTCCATTGATGATTTTCGGACGTTAAGTAAGCAAAGCAACACAACCTTGCAACAGTTGATAATATATCTGACAATTGTATAGAAGATTGGTACAGGTTACCAATGTTTGTCATCTGTTTATGCAATTTGGTTTATTTTGTTTTGCTCAGATTAATTAGGTACTAACACTTTTATTACCATTGTGTCGTCAGTCTGACAATGTGAAGAAAGGTTAGTTTTGTGTTTAGTGTCAGTTTTCTGAAGTACATTTTGAGTAGACTCCTGACAATGCAATTTTGTAATAATGATTATTACCATGAATGTACTTCAGCTTATT